ATTGTTAAGTAATAGTTTGGTTGCATATATTGAAAACGATGTACTTAACAATATTGATAACGATATAATTATACGACGTTTTTAGAGTATGAAAACGCGTAGGCTACAATTATAATAGCGTATTGACTTCTTTTCGTTAATGATATGTAGTTCTAAATATTTTTGAATTTTCGTTTTTGATCCCACAAGACAAATGGTCTGGATCTGCCCCTGTCTCTATCCAAACATTTGTTAATTAGTTTTAACAATAATTTCATCACAAAAAATTTAAATGAGCCCAAAAAAAATCATAAACCTACATATAAAATAGAAAAATCAATATGGTTATAAACCTAGAGAGCCATTTAAAAAGTTAAAAGAAAAATGGAAGACGGCGGTTGCTTTTTCTCTCAATTTTTTCCCCCCGCGGCGGCTTCCTTCTCACCAGTTAAAAAGTCAAAAAAGAAAAATCACAAATCACATTAAGAAATCTATGCTTCCAATTTAAGTATTATGAGTGTGTTGGATGAATATTATTGAAAAAATAATGTATTTTAAATAGTAGTATTTGTTAAACAATCCAAAGAAATAAATAAAAAGAGGAGACTGGAGTTTTATTGATTTTACATAATGCAATTGAATATAAAAAGATAATTTAACTTAAATACAAAGAGACTATATATAAGCTAATTAAAAGAAATTGAAAAGACTATTCTACCCTTAATAAACAATAAAACAAAATAATCATATATTTCTTAATAGTATCATGGGAAATATGTGGTTAAAAAGTAAGGAAAAGTTATTGATAAAAATATTATTTTATTGAAATATGTGCGGTTAAAAATGAGTTTTGAAAGAATGTATTTTAAAAAAATGTGTGCCAATTAAACATGGGCTATGTTTGAAAGGGCTTTTGAAATGTCAAAAATTGCATCCACACTAAGAAACTTCTTTGACGGCGCTCTTAAAGGTAAGAGCATTTGCATGCCTAATCGATTAGGTATTTTTGGTGCATGCGAACTTTATCATCGCATGATATTGATATATGCATGCATCATATTTGTTTATTTATTTTCTAGGTAGAAAAACTCATGCATATTTATTTATTTATTTATTTACTTTTGTTTGTTTGACATTTTTTTTGTATGCTTGGTGCATTTATGTTTTAAAATAAAAATAAAAAAATTGAAATTTGGAAAATAAAAATGCGGGAAAATGTTCTTTTATAGCATAATATACAATACACTTGATCTCATTTGTTGTGATCAAGCATGAGTTTAATCAATGAGCTGTAAAATAGTTTCCATTGCTGGCTTGAGTTATTATGGAGTACTTAGTATATGTGTCTTTATGTACCATTTGTACTGCACAAACTATGATATTGTTAGTGAGACTCTACGACGTGTGAAATCACGAAATAAAAATTTCCTGGACAGTACTGTCGCTCGAGCGATGGCTTAGTGATAGTCGAGTGATAGCCTGTCGCTCGAGCGATGGAGGGGCGATGGTCTAGCGACGTGTTTCTGCTTTTGTAGTTCGAGTCAACCCTTGACGACAATCCAGCAAAAATCATCTTCGTTTTCCTCCTTATTCCAAACTCGAAACCCTAGACTTACTAACTTTTGAACAAATTGCACATTACTCCTTGAACTTTTATAACCTATCAAATTAAGTCATTTTGTCCACAGAATTTGCCAATTATAAAATCAGCTAAAAACATAACAAACTTGCTTTTGGTTGAAAAAGTTCTAAAGAAGAGAGAGCAAAGAACGCAGAGAAAATTTATTCAAACGTTCTGTTGCAACAACAAATATCAATAAAATGAAGATATACTCGGTAATATAAGACTTTTTACTTCTAAAGAATTGGACAAAGCCAGTGATTGCTTCAATGAAAGCCGAATACTTGGTTAATAAAAAATTGTAGCAATAAAAAAATCAAAGTAGATGAAAACCAAGTAAAGCAATTCATTAACAAAAAGGAACATTTGGATATCTTGATGAAAAGTATATAACAAAAGTTTCGGCTTGAGAATTTCAGGGTCAGTTGAAGTGGATCAAACTCATTTAACTACCCAACTAAAA